TTTCCCAGGCTGTTATTTTCAGTTTGCCTCTGTAAATCAGCCCTCCTTAATGCAGACCCACAAAGGGGAGAGCTGGACCGGGGAGCCCAGCTTCAAGCCCGCAGCATGTCCAAGGAGGCAGCAGGGGCACCAAATAAATGAGCTTTTGCCTCCAGCAACAGGGCATAAAGAGGAAAAAACAGTCACAAGGGCACAGGGAGACCGAGGCACCTCCACTTCCCGGCAACAGGGGCAGCAGGAAAGGGCATAACTGTCCCATCACCCATCTTGGTGCCTCACATGGACAGAAAAATTCATCCAGGAAGACAAGGCAGACAACACCTGCCCAACACACCCTCAATGCAAACAAGCAGAAAGGTCCCACTTTCTGCTATGGTGCCAGTTATAAGCAGCTCCTCAGAAGGCCAATACAAACCCAAATGATGCCCAGCCAGTGATTAGTTAGTGCAAAGATTATAACCAGTGCAGGTACAAACCTGACCGAAAATCCATTTCCAAGACACAGATGTCCCTAAGGCCTCCCTGTACACACTCTGGGAGTCCTCAGGAAGAAGCCAGGGGCACAGAACCAATCATTACTAAGTTATTTATTTGTGATGGTGCCCAGGAGCATTGAACCTTGTGGAGGAGGCTCCATCCTACTAGCCCTGCGCACACAGAGCGGGGATGGGGTTAGGTTTCAGACCAGTCCTTGTCTTTGCCCTGGGAGTACCCCCTGCAGCACAGCACAGGCTTGGGATGGATGACAGGTGTCTTAAACTGTATTCCCACCAAATCCAAGCACAATTTCAGGCAGCGCTGAGACTAGCGCTCAAGCTAGAGGTGATCCAAAATACTGAAGTGGGGGGGCAGCCCAACACTGCTCTGTCCTGTTGTCCTCCCTCTTGTCCTTCCCCAGCCCCTTCAATTTATTTATTGCTTATCATGCCACAGCCAGGCACCACACCTGGAATTAGTTTGCCAAGTCTACAAGGCAGGCAAAATAAATGAACAAACATGTATATCAGTTTACCTATTTACTCTGCCAAGAGAGACCCGGCCACATTTCAGACTCTCCAAACACAGCTCTAGTGAAGGTGATGAAGAACAGGCTGCCTGCAAGGAGAGGAAGAAAAGGGGCAGTGGAAGGGTTAAAAGGAAAGCATGATCTGAAAATGAAAGAATGCAGCCAAGCAATGTGCAGCTGGCATCCATACAGATCTAGCCCAAGCTATTCAATTGGAAAGAGCCAATTACCACAAAGACTGCAAAAACTTGTCAGGATTATTCAGAATCAATTAGGTGTCTGTTAACCACAAGTTCCTCAAGGGCTTTCATTCTCCTCGAGGTTGAGCAGAGGCATAAAACTGGGCAGGTCCCAAGAGATGGAGAGAAACTAAACCCAGCAGGTTGGGTTCTCCACCAGCCACCCCGGCCAAGCACAAGGAGACCTTGTGATGCTCAGCTCACATGTGACCTTGCCTTTGGTCCCCTTCCAGCTTGGAAAGGGCCAAGTAGGTCAAGGGTTTGGGGACAAACTCCAGGTGACACATGTCATCCCAGTGAGAAAGGAGAGTCCTGTTTTCATAACAATCGCCAGATGGATTCATCCCAGCTGTGGTCCCTGGACAAGCCAGATTCCTTGGTGGCATAATGCAGGACCCCACGCACCACATTCCACGCTCTCCAGAGATGCTTTAAAGGGATAAACTACTGAAGCTGGAAGAGGAAAAAACCCTCAGAGAAGAGCAGATAGCATTGCTATACCACAATGGCCTCCCTCTAAATAAACAGAGCAGTAGGGAAGGGAAAAATCAAACCCCTCCACCAGCCTGGTATCTAGCAAGGTTATTCCTGACCCTGGAGTCCCCAGAGGGTATCATGGTCTTCCCTCATTGCCCGGCCAAGTGGATCTATCCCCAGCCCCAAACCAAACCTGATGTCAATGGGGAGTGTTTGGGGGGGGGGCACTGGGAAACCGTCACGTCTCTTCCCAGCCAGGAAGATGAGCTGGGAAAGCTGGTCAGCTCTGACACTCAAAGCAAATCTCTTCTCTGACACAGCGAAGAATAGGGCAACTCTGCCCAGCTAAAAGCAAAGAAAAGCAGAGCCCTTTCACCCTTGCAGGAACATCCTCCTCCACTAAAAAAGCTGCTCCAAATTTGATCCCTTGCTTTCTTGTTCAAGCAGAAAGCCCCTAAATCAGCTAGCTGAGCCCAAGCCTGGAGCTGGCACCCACTTGTCCTACCAAGGAGGGCATCTCCTCTGCATCTCCTACAGATCCACATCCTTTCCCAGGCTCATAGACACACTGGGAAAAGGAGCACACCTGAGATCCAGAGGTGCCCACACAGCATCACTCCAGCCGTTCAGCATCTGCAGCATCTCCCCTTCTGCTCCCCAAGCCAACCATTGGTCCAGTAGGGCATCAGGCCACATGAGGCAGCTGTTTGCCTGCACACACTGTAACACTTAAAAAAAAATCTGTCAAGGTCACACCCTGCCAAATCCACAAGGGATTTCACAAGGATTAAAACAACTTTGCTGAACACTCAATCACATCAAAAACAAGGTAAAGAAAGCCTGATGGGATAATTAAGGGATCTGCTGCATTAACATATGCGATGGCACACCCAGGAGCTGTCTGCAAGCCTGCATCCCCCAAGAGACAAAAGCCTCCATTGTCAATGAACGCTTTGCCGTGGACTTTAAAAGAGAAAGAAAGAAAAAAGAGAAAAACACACACAATCAAGGAAACTCCTGGAATTCACCCTAAGCTTTCAGGCTACTTAATTATCTATGGACTATTCATGCTAAATCCTGCTACTGAACTTGGTCCCAGGAAGGGAGAATAACAGACAAGCTGCAAACATCAAGGTGGGTGTGAAAAGGGGTTTGAAAAGATAAAAGAAAAAAATCTTCTCATCCTTGAGGGGCTTTACCCTACCCTTGTCCCTGGGATGAGGGGGAACCACCTGGGGTTAGACCACCCCATCTGCCAGCACCCCAGGCACAGGGTGGGCAGAGACCAGACCTGCTCCTGCTCAGACTGAGCCATCCCAACTCTGCAAAAGGTGGAAAGCTGCTCCCAGGAACCATTGTATTTCCCTTTGTGGCCAGCTCATACCTCCTTGCTCTGCTGTGGAGTCCTTCAGCTGCAATAGCCCCTCTCCCTTCCCAGCTTACCTTCCCAATCTATTCTTGAAGAGCAGAGAAATCACCCCTGAACAACCAATTTATGAAATCTAACAAGCCAAAGCTGTTCAGGGTAGGATATTTCCCACTCAATTTCCACAGCAAGCTTCACCCTCTAGCTCAGACCACAATATCTAACAGCACTTCCTGCACCAAAGGAGAACAGCCCCCTCCATCACTCCCTTTATACCATCATTTTCCACTACCTGGAAAGAAATCCCCCAAACAATGTCCAGCTGAGCTGTCATATCTAATCACAGACACCTTGCCAGCTATGTAAAACATGTTAATTTAAACCCTCTGAGGGGCATTTTAATTAGGGAGGGCTCCAAGCTCAGTGGTGGCCAGTAGCTGCAAGCCACCTGGGGAGCAATAGCTGATTGAGCCCCTTGGTTGTTTAAAGGCGTTTGACCACACCACGGGGCTACTAGGACAACACCAGGATTTGGGTGCTTTGGGAAACTTTGCCCTATTTTCTTTAACCGCCTCCAGGGCCATGGAGTATGATTTGATTGAATTACAGGGCACAGGTCCCAGTGGTGAGGTTAAAAAATAAACGGAAACCAAATCCGTGTTCCCCACAAACCACGTCAGAGAGGGCAACAACACCACATGCGCACACACTAACCAACCAAATAGATAAATATAAAGATGAGACACTCCCTGGGATTAAATCATTCAGCTTCTCAGGAGTGCATTTCACTCATCGCTGCCAGAAGAACATGTTCTTACCACCATCATGTGCATTAGATGCTATTAAACGAAAGCAATTGCACAAGTATGCAAACTTGCCCCGCTGGGAGTGGGGGAACAGAACAGGTTTGGGTGACACTTGGAGTGACACCTTTCTGCCACTGTGCAGCTTCTTCTTTAAACTATTAAGAATGTGCTTTATATAACACAATGCAGAGGTATGTGCACATGAATTTTTGAAATACTTGTGAGCCTGTACAATGAATGACCGATGACCTTGCAGTGACGCAGCCACCCGACACCTGCGACCCAGGCAATTAGCAGGAAGAAGAGATGGAAAGGAGGTGTTTTGACAACTTCGCTGCATTTTAGACTCCAAACTTCCGGCACTGAAATTGGCTCAAGAGCCAGCCTTGGAGGTGCTATCCTGCAAAGCGTCTATTTTTGTCCTGGAAGCTTGACCCTACGTTAGAAATGAGGGTACTTACCACCCATGGCAATGATGTCCCATTAATAGCTTGTAACATGTCTCCACATGGGCATCTGCAGAGGGACAGGCCACATCCAGGTGGGAAGCTGAGCTGAGG